AGACTTTCTTTCACCCTGATGCGCCTGTTCACCTAGCAATAAATAGGTACCTAGGAGTTTGACAACTGCTACGGGGTGCTTCCTGGGGATGTATACAAAAAAGGAGGCCTGGTCGAGGACCGGGCCGCGGGGACGTTAAACCACGAAATCATCTCAAGATAACCTCAAGAAGATAACCAACCGGCGGCCCACCAGCTCGGAGTTTAAGCGACCACGTTGGCGGGCCGCATGGCCTGTCAAACAACAAACTCTTAAGAGTCAAGAGCGATCTTGAACCGGACAAATCGACAGCAGGGGAGACGCCCAGCATCTTATCACTTAAAAACCATGATAATGTTGAGGAACCATAAATGAATGTTGATTTACCATGATAATGATAAAACCAAAACATAATCTGTCCATAGGCTTCAAGGACGCCGATTTAAGCCCCGCATATAATTTCTTTAACTTTTAATTACTGGGGTTCATAAATTATTATTATTATTATTATTGATATCTTTACGAGTTATATCCTACATTCCCTGCCATCCAGTCTGCCTTCCGGATATGAGACCTAACTGCCATCCAGTCATGAGTCCACTTCTGCCTTCCGATTATGAGCCAACCACCACGAAGGTTTTATGACTTGCTTCCTTCCCGGTAGGATAGTTCCTCCCAGTACGGATGACCCTCCCGGTAGGAGCCTGCTCACCCGGTAGTTACTACAGCTACCCCCCGCCCCCCCTGCCCCGTGTACTCTCGTTAGGGTATACGATCCCCACAGCTCTCATTTGGTAAATTGATTCCTGACACTAACTTATCTCTGCAGCGCGGCCGCTGTGTCTAGTACGCGGTGTCAGCTTCCCCCGTAATGTGACCCATTGTATACTCACAGTCACGTAACCCAGTATAAGGCAAGTCCGTGTATGCTTGCAGTCAGATATATATGTAAACAGAGAGAGAGAGAGAGAGAGAGAGAGAGAGAGAGAGAGAGAGAGAGAGAGAGAGAGAGAGAGAGAGAGAGAGAGGGAGAGAACAACCTGGTAGCCATAATCAGTATGGCCCCTAGAGAGAGAGACGAGGAACTAACTTATCATAATGACATGATGCTTGTCGCTAGGCTTATGAGCGCTGGTCCGTCCCACTGTGTATCAACACGGCAACCACCTCCCTCCCACGCCTGGTTAGCCTTGCATGGAAAATGTTTTAAGATTTTAGCCGTAAAAGAGCACCTCTAATACTAAGAAACACACTTTGAAAAACAACAATTTCTATCTAATATATTTTATGCTTCGAGAACAAAAATAGTTTTGTCTATTGGTCGCATTAAGTCGGAAAACGACCTAATTATTGGTTAAACACAACCGTTAAAGATCTGATTATTGCTTTTGGGTTATATTTCTTTACTGTGGATGTAAACGTTTAATTGTTGTGGCTTGATACTAGCTTGGTCAGTTATGGCTTGATATTGGCTTGGTCAGTTGTGGTTTGATACTGGCTTGGTCTGTTGTGGTTTGATACTGGCTTGGTCTGTTGTGGTTTGATACTGGCTTGGTCTGTTGTGGTTTGATACTGGCTTGGTCTGTTGTGGTTTGATACTGGCTTGGTCTGTTGTGGTTTGATACTGGCTTGGTCTGTTGTGGCTTGATATTGGCTTGGTCTGTTGTGGCTTGATACTGGGTTGGTCTGCTGTGGCTTGATACTGGCTTGGTCCGTTGTGGTTTGATACTGGCTTGGTCTGTTGTGGCTTGATACTGGCTTGGTCTGTTGTGGCTTGATATTGGCTTGGTCTGTTGTGGTTTGATACTGGCTTGGTCTGTTGTGGTTTGATACTGGCTTGGTCTGTTGTGGCTTGATACTGGCTTGGTCCGTTGTGGTTTGATACTGGCTTGGACCGTTGTGGCTTGATACTGGCTTGGTCTGTTGTGGCTTGGTCTGTTGTGGCTTGATACTGGCTTGGTCTATTGTGGCTTGATACTGGCTTGGTCTGTTGTGGCTTGATACTGGCATGGTCTGTTGTGGCTTGATACTGGCTTGGTCTGTTGTGGCTTGATACTGGCTTGGTCTGTTGTGGCTTGACACTGGCTTGGTCCGTTGTGGCGTGATACTGGCTTGGTCCGTTGTGGCTTGATACTGGCTTGGCCTGTTTTGATTAGGTAAACTACGCCAGGATTCATCAAACATTTACGAAACCAAATAAGAAAGCTGTACATCTTTTAACAGCCTCTGCAGTCTGTGTTTACAATAATTAAACAGTTCACGTGCTTCGAAACCACAAGTTATTATTATTATAAAAAAAACTTACTGTGATTCAGAGCTCATAAACTGCTTAATACATGTAAACAAAGCTGCCATAATTGTTGAAAGATGAATAGGTTTCGTAAGTGGATGAGTAAATGCTTGATGAATCAAGCTCCTGGTTATAATTACATAAAATCACCACACTCGTACTTATTCGTAATCTCATCACCGAAGTTTCTTTCTTCAGAGTAATTCCTCGTTATCGTCTCCATTCCCTTCATCATAGTGCATCATAATCCTCCTTGTCATTGTAATCCCACTCATCATTGGAATCCCCTGTGTCCTTGTAGTCTCCCTAATCTCTGTTAATCCCACATCACTAATTCTATGAACATTTGAATTCCACCGATCATTGGAATCCCCTCACTACTGAAATCCCTCAACGTTATATTTATCATCATTGTAATCCTTTTAGTCAATGTATATCCACCTAGAATTGTAATCCCCTAATAATTCTAATCCCCATCAGCAGTGTAATCTCTTCATCATTGTAATCCCCCATCCTCCCTGCCCACCACCGGCCTCCCTGCCCACCACCGGCCTCCCTGCCCACCACCGGCCTCCCTGCCCACCACCGGCCGCCCTGCCCACCACCATCCTCCCTGCCCACCACCGGCCTCCCTGCCCACCACCGGCCTCCCTGCCCACCACCGGCCGCCCTGCCCACCACCATCCTCCCTGCCCACCACCGGCCTCCCTGCCCACCACCGGCCTCCCTGCCCACCACCGGCCACCCTGCCCACCACCGGCCTCCCTGCCCACCACCGGCCACCCTGCCAGCATTCATCCTTGCCACTGTAATATCGGCCAGCTAATTGCATGTGCAACTACTATTTATATGCGCATTTAGTTCTAGTTCAGTATAAATGTCTTGTAACTATTCAATTAATGCAATGAAGGCGCGGCCCAGGGGTCGAGTGTTCTGTCCAATGGTATCTTCCAGTGGTTCGAATGGTACCGAATATCTGTACCGTCCAGTGGTACCGTCCAGTGGTACTCACCCACTGGTACTCGTCCAGTGGTATTCGTCCAGTGGTACTCATCTAGTGGAACTCGTCCAGTGGTATTCGTCCAGTGGTACTCACCCAGTGGTACTCGTCAAATGGTACAAGTCCAGTAGTCCTCGTCCAGTTATAATAAACTGAATGAATGCCACCATTGTAACAACCGGATGATAGTCACCAATGTAATAACCAGGTGATAATTACCAATGCAACACTCTCTAGATGTACTGAGATTGTAAGGAGTGAGAGAGAGAGAGAGAGAGAGAGAGAGAGAGAGAGAGAGAGAGAGAGAGAGAGAGAGAGAGAGAGAGAGAGAGAGAGAGAGAGAGAGAGAAGAGAGAGAGAGAGAGAGAGAGAGAGAGAGAGAGAGAGAGAGAGAGAGAGAGAGAGAGAGAGAGAGAGAGAGAGAGAGAGAGAGAAAGAGAGAGAGAGAGAGAGAGAGAGAGAGAGAGAGAGAGAGAGAGAGAGAGAGAGAGAGAGAGAGAGAGAGAGAGAGAGAGAGAGGAGAGAGAGAGAGAGAGAGAGAGAGAGAGAGAGAGAGAGAGAGAGAGAGAGAGAGAGAGAGAGAGAGAGAGATGATAGCTCCTATGAAACAAATAACACACACAAGCCTATAAGCGTTGCCACCTTCCTGAGCTTTGACTTAAGTTTTATCCTAAGATGTTATATATGGAACAATGCGAACAACACACCAAGATATGCTTGCGGGGGTTGAGCTCTGGCTCTTTGGTCCCGCCTCGCAACTGTCAATCAACTGGTGTACAGATTCCCGAGCCTACTGGACTCTATCATATCTACATTTGAAACTGTGTATGGAATCTGCCTCCACCACCTCACTTCTTGTATATGTATCCCAATAATGTTTACCCAGAGCTTACCGTCTGTGCTCTCGCTGACAGTAAGCTGTCAGCTAGACAGTCCATAATCGAAAAAAAGTTTGTATTGCGATACACGACAGAACTTATTCAGTGAATTTAAGCGCGAGACAGCCATATCACTTTCTGTTCACCAGTAAACAAAAATATTATTTATTGTTAACGCTTACTGAATGACATACACAAGTATACTGAATGATGGACGAAAGGATACTAAATGACGTAGAAATGTATACTGAATGACGCACAAAAGAATACTAAATAATGCGTAAAAGTATAGTGAATGACATTGAAGGATATACTGAATGACACACAAGCGTATATTGAATGACCTACGAAAGTATACTGAATTGACGCATAAAAGTATACTGAATTGCGTACAAAAGTATACTAAATGACGCATGAAAGTATACTGAATGACGCACAAAAGTATAATGAATGATGTATATAAAAAAAAACAAAATGCAGTGCAATGGTGTACTGAATAACTCACAAATTAATAAATTATCAAAGGCTAATTTTACATCTGATGGGATTCGGACACACCAAAAGGTAATCGAGGTCCACACACCGGCGTCATACTGCAAAGTCTACACACGACTCCCCTGAATCAGTTACCTTAAAACCACACATTTTAAACCAAATATTAAATCCACAGGAAAAGAAAATCATTATACTGTAGAAAAAAGATATCAAAGATTAGTTATAATGTTGATAATAAAATAGCATAAAAGAGGTAAATAGCCACGAAATAAAGGGAAATAAAGATGAAAGTTATATTAACATTAAAGAAGTTATATTAACATTAAAGAAGATTTAACATTAAGACGTTGGTACTCACACTGACGTTGACTCCTGCGAGCGGAAGAATTTCCTTGCTGGGGCTGTCCTCTGGCTTATATCTGAAGAACTCGAGGTCGTTGAAGTACCACTTGAGGGAGTAGAGCTTTTCTCTCGGGCCCTCCCACTGACACCTAAGGTCCACCTTGTCCCCGAGGGCCACAAATTCTGGCACCTCCAGTCGCTTGATGTGGACCTCCTCTCCACCAGCACCTGGACACAGACAGACAGACCTGGTTACACAGACGCATGATTGAGGCACAGAACGACTGATGGTACGGTGGTGACTGTGGATGGTGGTATAGTGGTGGTGACTGTGGATGGTGGTATAGTGGTGGTGACTGTGGATGGTGGTATAGTGGTGGTGACTGTGGATGGTGGTATAGTGATGGTGTCTGTGGATGGTGGTATAATGGTGGTGACTGTGGATGGTGGTATAATGGTGGTGACTGTGGATGGTGGTATAATGGTGGTGACTGTGGATGGTGGTATAATGGTGGTGACTGTGGATGGTGGTATAATGGTGGTGACTGTGGATGGTGGTATAATGGTGGTGACTGTGGATGGTGGTATAATGGTGGTGACTGTGGATGGTGGTATAGTGATGGTGACTGTAGATGGTATAGTGGTGGGGTCTGTGAATGGTAGTATAGTGATGGTGTCTGGATGGTGGTATAGTGGTGGTGGACTACTCTACAGTACCCGACAAAGAGGATTCACAATAGAGTTTACTAACTGTATGTACAAACATAACTATCAAAACAAGGAAATACACCACGTGGTTATTTCCAACTGAAGACTACTTAGTGTCTTTCCCTCTTCTCGTCTTGTCTTCATTATCTCTCTGTTTTCCTGCCTCCTTCTTTGGCCTAGTCTTCTCTATTATCTCTCTCTTTTGCTTCTCTTCTTTCCTCCTTCTCTTCTTGAGTCGTAATGTGGCAACATATTCCTTCTCCTCGTTCTCAAGAACTCACTGATTAAAATTATAGGTAATAGTTTTATTAAGAACCTAATCAAGGATTAATGATGATTTTCTACGAAGACATTTTCGTTTCAGTAAATGATATATTTATAAACTTTACAGTCCTTTATTCCAAAACATTTTCAGTTTTATTACTTAGAAAACATAACAAGATAACCTTCTTCCACCAGCAATTCAAACAGAATTGATCGTGTTTTCCTCTTTTCTGTAGAGCTTAAGAGTCAACTGATGCTTCAAAGACCACCCGGAGGAAGTCACGCGGGCCCTTCGTGTCTGTGTCAGAGAAGCCTCTGCAGTTGCAGGCCAAGGCTCGTCCTGAGGCCAGATTCACGAAGCAGTTACGCAAGCACTTACGAACCTGTACATCTTTTCTCAATCTTTGGCGGCTTTGTTTACAATTATTAAACAGTTAATGAGCTCCGAAGCACCAGGAGGCTTTTTATAACATTAACAGTTGATTGGGAAGTTTTCATGCTTGTAAACTGTTTAATAAATGTAACCAAAGCCATCAAAGATTGGGGAAAGATGTACTCGTTCGTAAGTACTTGCGTAAATGCTTCGTGAATCTGGCTCCTGGACACTGCGTCTCTCTCACGTGTGTCTTCCACTGTTCTGGGAAACTTTACACAACTGCAGCCACGTGGGATCTTTTTTTAGTTGCTTTATTTGGGTTCGTATTTCATAATAAAGTCGCGGCAGAGCTTCATGACTCTGGCCGTGATCTAAATAGTGCCTTAACTCTTCTTACTAATGGTGTAACAAATGTTTACAACAACTCTACAGTGCTTGACTGTAATGACAACAGTGTCTAATGTGTAAACATAATAGCAAGGCTCTCTTAGCTCAATACAATACCTTAGGTAAGACAATTTTCACCAGCCTATAATCTACAAAAATACATACTCTAATTCATCCTTATTCCAGATACAAATTTTACATGAATTTTTAATCAACTCTTTGCTTCTTATTTTTTATATTAATTGTTTTTAATTTTGTGTTGTGTTAACCCTTTGACTGCTACGGCGGCTCAGTAAGCTGTGTTGAGTCAAGTGACAATGACCAGCGTCTCGTTAAAACTTGGTCGCCAATTACAGCATTCTTTTCACTGTGTATATTGGGGACGTGACTCCACTACTCGTCGAGTGACTGTGAACGTGAAGAATGGGCCGTTCCTTGGAAATATCAGCGTTTTGGCTCTTGATTACGTGGCCTAATTTGTCCAAGATTCAGGGAATTCTTAGCTTGCCTCGCTCAAGGACCTCTCCTCATCTGACTCAAAATGTTGTTCTTTTTGTCTCATAATGATAAGGATATTTTTCTGAGTTTATTTTCCAAATTGTTTCAGTTCAGATGTATTGTTCCGACGGAGTTTTTCACCCATTGTAGCCACGGGCCAGCATTCACGCAGCACCTGTTCACTCAAGGCATTTGTACCTTTGAGATCGTAGCAGCGATCTCTGCTTATGAGCTCCGAAGAGCCGCGAGAAACCACATAATAACAATAACCTTCATACAGACGAGGAGTCACAATAACGTGGCTGAAATATGTTGACCAACCCACACACTAGAAAGTGAAGGGACGACGACGTTTCGGTTCGTCCTGGACCATTCTCACAATCGACTTGAGAATGGTCCAGGACGGACCGAAATGTCGTCGTCCCTTCACTTTCTAGTGTGTGGTTTGGTCAACAATAACCTTTATCATGGTGATCTCTTGTCACTTTGGGCCTCTCATATACTGTTTAGTAAATAAAGACAAAGTCCCCCTGATGGAGATGAGAAGTACAGACCTCGTAAGCGGGAACTTAACTCTCTGTGAATCCCAATCCAGCTGGCTAATCTACTAACTAGAATTCCTTATACTATAAGATTAGTTTAATTGCCTGATTTCATTCAGATTTGTAATGATAACAATGTCAAAGGTTAAGAATAGACTGGACACTTGAATAGCTGTAAATTTGATATGAGGAAATTGTAAATATATTTATATATTACTGAAAAGATCGCTAAAACTGACAAGAGTTCAGATGGGATGGAACATTTTTACAGCTGTATTTGTTATTACACTGGCACATATCATACTTTATATTGAGTAGAATTTTTACTTTTTAGGTACAATTTATATATATATATATATATATATATATATATATATATATATATATATATATATATATATATATATATATATATGACAATGTCAGACCACGGAGGAAAAATGGTGATATAAAAATTTCGTAATAAATACAGTATATATATATATATATATATATATATATATATATATATATATATATATATATATATATATATATATTGAGTATATATATATATATATATACTGTATTTATTATTTTCTGGTTTAGGGCTTCTATCCCTCTAACTATTTTCTTAGCATCAGGGCTTAATTGAAATAGGAGTTCTCCAAAACTCATTTTCGTACTTTTAAGGTGAAGAAAAGAAGTGATTTACTATAGAGTGTATTCCATTTATTTGTATAATTTGCACGACGTTTCGAACCTCCATGGTTCATTCTCAAGTGAACAGATCTTACAATACTAGTTGATTTTATACCCGCATTAGGTCAGGTGATAATACAATGAAGGTGAAAACATGGGGGGATACATAAGGGATAAACATAGGGGCTGCAGAAGGTTTATTGGCCCATACGAGGCATCTCCTATCTAAACACAAAGATTAATCCAGTGTAATTGGCCTGTTATGTTGGACATTGTCTTCTGTGTTGGCATCGATATGTTCTTGTCTTGTCCTTACTCTCATGGTGGGTAGAGTTAATAGTTCCGTGATTTGGGTGTTCATGGTAGGTCGCTCTATTCTTATGTGAATTGCCTCAAGAATTTGTAATCTTCTTGAATCTTGGGTTTTGTCTATTATGCAAGTATTCTTGTTCAACATTTCTCTTGTTAGAGTAATGTCATGGGCTTGTCTCATGTGATTCCTAGGGGCACCAGATTGAAGATGGCATGTCAAACGCCTCGTCAGCTTGGTCGACGTCATACCTATGTACTTACATTGAAGGTTACATCCTTCGTGGGGGCAAGTGTACATGTATACAACGCTTGACTGCTGTAGAGGGTTCTCCGTCGGCTTCGGGCTGTTTTTGATAAGGAGTTCGGAAGTCTTCTTGGTTTTGTAGAATATTATCAGGTTTATGTTTTGGTTAGGAGTAGTGCTTTTTACTCCTTTACGGATTATTTCTTTCATTATTCTTTCCTCTTTTATATGTTCACTGTGCATGGTTGAACCAAAACATAAACCTGATAATTTATGTTTTGGTTAGGAGTAGTGCTTTTTACTCCTTTACGGATTATTTCTTTCATTATTCTTTCCTCTTTTATATGTTCACTGTGCATGGTTGAACCAAAACATAAACCTGATAATATTCTACAAAACCAAGAAGACTTCCGAACTCCTTATCAAAAACAGCCCGAAGCCGACGGAGAACCCTCTACAGCAGTCAAGCGTTGTATACATGTACACTTGCCCCCACGAAGGATGTAACCTTCAATGTAAGTACATAGGTATGACGTCGACCAAGCTGACGAGGCGTTTGACATGCAATCTTCAATCTGGTGCCCCTAGGAATCACATGAGACAAGCCCATGACATTACTCTAACAAGAGAAATGTTGAACAAGAATACTTGCATAATAGACAAAACCCAAGATTCAAGAAGATTACAAATTCTTGAGGCAATTTACATAAGAATAGAGCGACCTACCATGAACACCCAAATCACGGAACTATTTACTCTACCCACCATGAGAGTAAGGACAAGACAAGAACATATCGATGCCAACACAGAAGACAATGTCCAACATAACAGGCCAATTACACTGGATTAATCTTTGTGTTTAGATAGGAGATGCCTCGTATGGGCCAATAAACCTTCTGCAGCCCCTATGTTTATCCCTTATGTATCCCCCCATGTTTTCACCTTCATTGTATTATCACCTGACCTAATGCGGGTATAAAATCAACTAGTATTGTAAGATCTGTTCACTTGAGAATGAACCATGGAGGTTCGAAACGTCGTGCAAATTATACAAATAAGTGGAATACACTCTATAGTAAATCACTTCTTTTCTTCACCTTAAAAGTACGAAAATGAGTTTTGGAGAACTCCTATTTCAATTAAGCCCTGATGCTAAGAAAATAGTTAAGAGGGATAGAAGCCCTAAACCAGAAAATAATAAATACAGAATATGCGG